TAAATAAAAGTAGAAGTTACAAAAAACTAAATAACAGTCGCATGCATTAATACAAAAAATAACAGGCTGTATCTTTTTTGAATTATAGCTCAATAATAAATTTAAAACAAAAACAATAGTTAATGCATCTAGGGATTACACACAGTTAAAAGGGCATAGGCACAGCACAAGTGTCTATAATGCATTGCAAACGAGACGTTTGGAACAAAAGCGTCTTAATGAGAAAATCGTGTTCACAGCGAGACACCTCAATAGGTAACTCAGTGAAATGATTGCGTGAAAGCGACCATCTAGTATTGTGACACAAACCGGTACCATAAATAACCATCGTAATACGACACAACACTAGTATTTTCGCAAACTCAAGAAAAAAGTTAAATAGAATCATGTTCACAACATTAGCTCTTTACTGCCGGGTTTATTTTCCAATCCATAAGTATCGCATTGTACTATAGGTTTTTCTTAATGGAAAAGTCAGTCTATGGTGACATTTCACTTCTGAACGGAAGAAAGTTGAATTGTATCTAAATCAACTTTCCTGAAGTCGGGGAAAGTTAACAACGGCTAAGAAAGAACTTAATCGACTCGACTGTGTCAAAGACAAAGCCGTTCATCGCTGCCTTTTCAATTACTATAAATTAAATCACATTTAAATGTGTTTCTAATTTAGTAGGTAAAATATTTATAAAATACTCCTTTTTTGAGTAAAAAGTAAGCAAATATAAAATATTCTGTTTTATACATGGTAGAACCAAGCTGCAGCAAAATAACGACACAATAAGAAGTTGCAAAATAAATGTAAAGTAGCGTACGAAGCTAAAATAAATAGGGTGCGTTTGGCAGAAAAAAGCGCTAGCAAGCGCTTGTAAGCAAAATGGCGATCGTAAGCGGTAAGCGCTGTCAAATCGTAAGTAGCTATTTTCCTCCAGGACACGATGTTAGTTTTAACGGGGGAACCTAACCTAATTTAAATATATGTTTGTAAAGTATTCATATTAAAAACTTACCAATCATGAATTTTTAATAACATGTATATGTTTATTCATGTCATTATATTACTTAAAACTAATATTGCACAAAACAACTTATAAACTCTACTTCAAAACAAACAAATTAAATAAGCAAAATGGCGGATTGTGTCAGCGCTACTGAAGTAGGAATCGTGTCCTGGCCGAAAACTATTTTAGCGCTTATAAGCGCTTGCTAGCGCTTTTTTCTGCCAAACGCACCCATAGACTTAATAATTTTACAGGGCACGTGTTACATCAAACTCTTATTGGTATAGTATGGGAATAAATTTAATTGTTTTCACTCGTGATGCAGAAAATTCCCACGACTTTGGTATTACTTTAACGCTCTTGCGCACACTTACATAACATAAGTGCTTCATTACGGTCATAGCTTATTCGCCATCTGTTTTTCGTTCTTATTTAAACAAAGATATATATTTTTCGGATATAAAGAAATATTACAACGCGAAGGAGCGTTTTTATCGAAAGATAAAATTCACTGCTACGGTCGTAGCTGCCGATGATAAGTTATTTGACACGCCCAACGAATGGTAAATTTATGGCTGATTTAACTCGTTTACACAGAAAAGACTTAACATCTTGACTGCTTGAAACGAAAACAAATTGAACACAATTTTGTAACTCGGAAATTAAATACCAAATTTATCATGGCGTGTTATGGTTTTAATCCACCAAGTCCTTTCCGGCATTAATTTGATATATAATTTTTTTTTATAAAAGAATATTAACAATGCTATAAACATTACTAATATTCCCCTTAACCGCTCGTGGTAAGCTTAAATTGCTTGTGTTACGAGTGGTTCACGCCAGTATTCGAATGGCGGATTCGAACCCACGACCTTTTTGAGTTCGCGGTCCGCGCCCTGCCATTAGGCTTTTGTCGCTTAGAGAATTTCATGATACTATACCATAGAGTTATACTTGGTATTGCATGCATAAAACGATATATAATATTATTTTATATGTATGTTGATAAGACTTTTTATATAGATACATATATAAAAAAGATAACTATAAAGAAAAGGTTCAAAAGGTTGATAGAGATTAGGCCATTAAGAAATTACCTTTTTTTTGAAAATTTTTGCATTTTAAACGAGTGTTTTGAAATAATTTTTAAAACTATTTGCATTTCCGTTAGATAATTTTTACATCAAATTCATTTCATAATCATTTTGAACCCATTAACTGCCCACTACTGTTTAACATCGATCTTTTACGGTATTAAGGATTTTGCAAAATCGCAACACATCGTCGGCGTGTCAATTCTGGGCACAGACCACCCAGGGGTGGTCTGTGATTCTGGGTTTCGTTTCTGATTTAGATATTTAAATGCAGCTGCAAAACAGCTCCACCACGTAATTGCTTTGTAAAGGTTTTTTTTTGTTTCATTTGTCTGGGTCTAATAGGTACCCGTGATTACCTGATACTTATAGCAAAAAGAATGTATTAATTGTGTTACTAGCCGTGAAAGGCTTTAGTCGCCTTCAATGACCGAGGACATTGGGTTTTTTTTATTTTTGTAGGCAACCACTTATTTTTTCTTTCACAATTTTCTATCTAAACCTATATTTTTTGCTATTCGTGATCCGAGTAACTCTCTGCTTTTTGGTCTTTGCCTACTGCCTACAAGTTCGGGATTAAGGACGTGATGCTATATTCATATTTTTTTTTTTATATATATATATATATATATAAGTTAAGGCAAACGAGCATACGGCTCACCTGATGGTAAGTGACTACCGCCGCCCATGAACAACCACTACACCAGGGGAATTTCTGGTGCGTTGCCGGCCTTTAGAAAGTAGTAAGCTCTTTTCTTGAAGGTCCCTAAGTCGTCGTATCGGTCCGGAAAAATCGCCGGTGGTAAACAATTACACAGAGACGTTGTATGAGGACGATAACTCCTAGTAAAACGCACAGTGGTGGACCGCCAAGCATCCAGATGGTGTGGATTGTATCGTGAGTTTTGACACGATATGCGTTCGTGAAATTTGGCGGCGGAAATTGATTTCATTTCATGAAACTAGAATTTTATAAAAAATAAGAAGAAAGAACAGCTTTAAACTTCCCACAGTTCTTTGGATAAATTAAAATAATGAAGTCACATGTATCGAGCTAAAATTAGAAACTGCTTCGGAGTTATAAACAAACACGTGCAGATAATTGATTTCGAAGCCGTGATAAAGGTAATGTATATAGTATCTGTGATCGCTCGGTGGCAAATACATCCTTCTCCCCACCCCGGACAACTTTCGTACGTGATCCGAATGTTGCCAACACAATTCATTTCAATTACCAACACGATCAATGCCTAAATTCGGTAACGTCTTCGGGAATCGCTTTTTTATTTGTAATATGTCAAAACGTACCATGTTGAAGTAGTGATTACCATATTTTAATTGAAAATGGAAAGTATTTTCTTTAATCAGCATGTTGGGAACGTCAATCGAATTTGAATTTGAAGCATCGTTTCTAAATTGTTCCAATTTCAATTTTATTTTTAATTTCATACATTCGAGAAAAAAGTTTTTGAATGCTGCTTTTCACTCTTTCCATAGAAGTTATGATGAATGGAAAATTATCAGAATTTCGTTATTTCTTATGTGTTTTTCAGTTATTTTCGGCAAAAGCCACCTTTTCTCAAAAAGATCGTTCCCTATGAAACATCCCATCTTTACTCCGTTCCATTAACATTGAGAAATAGGATTCAAACTACCGCAATCAAATAGTATGAAAAATAATTTACATATTGAAGTGATTAAGCGGAACGCTAATAGTGTATGCTTATGAATATCCACTACCCCATATCATCCCGTGGGTGTCGTAAGATGTGACAGGGGGAAACAAATCAGGCGAAGGCGGCAGCGTCTTACAAAAATATAAAAATAAACTGCGGTTGCCAACCCTGCGGATACTTGCCAAGCGTGGCAACTATGGCAAATATCCCCCTATGAGGCAATCTATTGTCGAGGCCCACGTTCAGCAGTGGACTTTAATAGGCTGTAACGGTAACGGTAACACTTGCTATCTTTCTAATCAATATCATTTTTTCTTTGTATTTGTTTTTTTTTATAAAACTGAAGTGTCAAACGAACTGACACTCGACCTGATGGTAAGTGGCTACCCAGTGGTGTCCATGGATACTTGCAGCCAAATTTAAACTAAGAATGTTACAGATGCGTTGTCGCCTCTGTGGACCAAGATGGACCGTCTCACGGCCTGTAATTACCTCTATACCCTTCAGTATAGAACAAAACTGTGTAAGACCTGCAATTTGGCGGTCAAAATATGTAAAAAGGTGGTCCACAAAGGGACTCCTAAACAGAAAATAAATCCTACCACCCAGTGAAACTTACTTTTGATCTTATATTTTATCTCTGCTATTTAAACATTTGACCATATTCTTTCTGTGGCTGATTTCAATGACAGTGACAAATATATCAAGGAATAAAGAAAGAAAGAATGCCTTTTATTCCCTAAAATTTATACTTTATAATAACAATAATAATAATGGGATGATGCATTATAATAGACAACGTAAAGGACCGCTGCCTGAGGGTCGCCGGGGCGCGTCTGTATCTAGCGCTGGAGCATGCGGGCCGCCAGCCAAGCAAGATCACCTAGCAGCCCCCCGCATTCATCATCCCCACCAGATGAATTGACGTCAGCAGGGTCCTCTCGGACTCGGCAAGTGGTATCCACCGCTGGTGGAGTGCGCCGCATGCGTTGGACAAAAAATATGAACGCAAACGCATTTCGGCCGTACTATGGGGCGAAAGGGTAAGAAACTACAGGGATAGCGTATCGGGCTCCGACGCATTGCTTTTTTGCTGAGCTGGAGCCATCTATTCCCGTCACGGAACAAAACCTGTCAGACCGAATTCGGTACATCATGCGCTCGAAAATATTTGATGATGCTGAGCTCGAACGACTACGACGTGAGGCTATTCCCTCTAGAATAAATCGGCTATGGATGGAAATGCGGCTCCTCAGGTGACAGACCAGCATTCACACGTGGAATCTGTCATGGATCTTCCAGATGTGGTTGATTTGAACGATGATGAAATGGTCTCCCACGAACTAGAGCAAATGAGGAGCATATTGGAAGAGGCGAATTTGGAAACGCGCAGCATGCCACACGAAAATCGACCGCAACTTTTCCGCATAGCAATACATAAGCAACCGAAATTGGGCTGTCGTGAGGGCTCTTAACCCAATGCTAGTGACCTATTTGGAACCCAGCCAGGACCTTTGCGAGACAGACTCAATTTTTTTTTGCCGCCGCAGTAGCAGTTTGCCGTATTATTGGCACCAAACTTCCCATAGCTGGATGCGCTACTAAACAAAGTAGCGTCATCCCAGCCTGGGGAAAAAGAATTGAGGACCGTATGGCAAAGGCAAGGGCCCTTATCGGCAGACTGACAGGCTTCAGATCAGGTAATAATAGACCGAGGGTTGTGCGCACCGTTAGAATGGCATTTGCTGGGACAAATATCAGTTTGTACCAGCCGGATACCACGCAGAAACTAACGGAGAGCATAGACGACCTGAAGAAAAAATTGCTGCTTGGGGGAAGCGGATTCGATGATTTACCGAGAGGTCAAGGCGGTTCAATCAGAATCGTCTCTTCCAGAGTGATCAGAAGAGGCTTTATAAATCATTGGAACGACCAGGGGTACGTTGAGCGGGCCCAGGACCGGATCAGGCCGACACTGTCTCATTTTAATATTTTTTATAGGAAAAAAGTGACATGTGGCCTGTAGTCAGAGCCCGTAAACTACAGCGAAGACCCTTGGATGGAAGTTGTGGCGAGCCAGGGTGCGAGTGCTACGCCTATGGACCCCATCACCATAACGCCGGAAGACGTGGCTGAGGCCGCATAACTTGGCGATTTCACCGAACTCTCCCTCATATGTTAAAGGACTATACTCAAAAGTAAATAAGGCACATTAATAGATAGATAGATATAATTTATAAAACAATTGTAAACTTCATTTGATTCGATTAATAAAAGTAAATATAAACTTCGACAGACTTATTAATTAACATTAACCAATTTCCATTCAGCGACGATAGAATACATTAAATTTTGCTCATCCGAGAGGGTTGCATAGAGCCCTGGCGTAATTGCAAAGAGCCGACTCAACTAAGATTTACCAATTAAGGGAATCGGAAGCGGAACCACTCGCCAACTCAGCGACTGTGAGATCAGCGGAGCGCGGTAACCTGCTTCGACTTCATACGCGCGTATACTTAAACTGCATGCTTTGCTTCAAACCGAGAGTCTAGTTAAAATTGCTATAAAGCTTTGCTTAACTTTTCAAAAGGTGTTATTTATAACAGAAAGCTTGCGAAATTAGGGAATATATAGCTTTTGTATAGATAAATTATTTTAGTTTGATTGTAAGTTTTAGAATCCTGAAATATATACGTAAATAAATGTATAATAGAGTATTATGTATATTGTATGTAAACTATAAATTAATTTCTTATTTATACATGTAAATGAAATTAAAGTGTCTGTTGAAATAACTGGCTTTCCTTAAGCACAGGGGGGAGTTTATGACTTAACAGCATGCAAGTTCATAAACACCTAATTTTTAAAATATCTGTCTGTATTAAGATAATTGATAGAATCAGGCGTTACTTTGCGGAAATTCATTATAATAATGATATTGATTAATTGACAACCTTCCGCTAACTAAATACATTGAATAGTTCCTGGAATAGTGGTGTTGCTAGCAGTGGTGCCGGGATTAGTGGTGTTGGGATGAGTAGTGCTGGGACTAGTGGTGACGGAATTAGTGCACGCAATTGGGGGAGGGCGGGAGGTGCTCTTCAATCCAGGTAAGACACATCATTGTATTTAGTTAGCGGATGTTGCAATCTAATCAATATCTTTAATATGTGTCTGTCTGTCAGTCTGTCTGGGCTAATCTTTGGAATTGATAAATCTAGGGAATATTTTATTCAAAAAACGTTGAAGATTTAAAAAAAAACGAAAAATTGATAAAAGAAATGGCATTTGATGACACTAAATCTAAATAACACCACATTAATAGATCCTATCCAGGCAAAGCAGGGTTGGGTCGCTAGTCGTTTAATTATTACATACATCAAATACACAATATACGAATTTGATTACAATTTTAGAAGTATTGCAAATGTTTGCGATGAACGTGAAGTTCAATTATTAGCTCAACTGATGATTACACACATAATATTTTTTATCCTATTCAATTTAGCCTATTACCAAAATTTAAAGATACTTATGACTATTACAAGTAATTTTTATTTCCCACTGTTTCTTAAAATACTTTTTTTCTGAAAAGAAACAGCAAGAACCCCAGCAAGCTATAATTTAAACATAACATTTTACAATTATAGATTACAATTATTTATACTAGTTATAAGAGAACCAGCATAGTGGTGATCACTTCATTCCCCAGAGATATTTTTATTAATCTATTCCATATTATTAATTACAATTACTGACAAACACTAAATATTTCTACAGATTTTATTCTAAAATGTATCTTAAAAAATCATAAATGAATTACCTACTCTTTGTTACTACTTCTGTGTTCTTTACTGTTTCTGTTTTCATTGAATATGCCCTATCTATAGTAATTACAACAGGAAATAAAACTATTAATTCATGATTCATCATATTAACTTCCGTTAACTCCTATAAATACATATTTCTATTTTTTTAAGTCAAATCAGCATCTAATTTTAAAATTTTATTAGTGCCGAAGTATATCAAACCCGCATTTGTACTGTGATATTTTTGAGTGCTTAGCCTTGAAGTTTTTAACTCAATACATACTTGATGGGATTGTTGAACCCAAACTCAAAAACTTTATAGTTAAATTTGCTAAATGTTATGGAATCACGGCTTTTTGATATTTCTAAACTACTGTACATTTCAACATGGCAACATTTTAATGACTGTAAAGTTACGTTAGTCTCTCGACAAATTTAATTTCTTCTTTCGTTATCATGCACACCGTGTAACACATTTTAATTAGATTAAGCTGCCGTGATCGTGTGGATTTCATGTTTTGAACAAATAAATATTTTAACTTTCGGTATAAAATATTTAATTAATTACGTTAAAATCTTTGCGTAACATAAATATAGACTATGCAAGGGATAATCTCCAAGATGGCGGATCTATTGGTGTCTGTGACCGATTTTTGTATTTGAAAAATACTACATCTGATTGTAGTACATTTCCAATACAAAAACAATAAAAATTAAAAAAAAAACTTCATTTATTATACTAGAATTGAATAAGATATTACTTAGATAGCACAGCTGAGGCTCAGCTATAAACTTTTACCGCAAGCCGTATAATTTATACAAATTATTTAAGAAGTCGACCACTTTAGATTTTTAGCGCTGTACTTTTGACAGCCCATAGAAAATACAACAATGTCGTTTCCTTTACCCATAAATGTACATTTACACCGAGGAACGATCATTTTTGTAACAAAAATTACTCGATAAGGTAAAAAGTAGGTAATTTTCTTTTACAATACAAGGCCATTGGTACTTAGTAACTGGATCCTTCGCTTCACGCAAACACAGTTTGAGAACGTTTGCATAACAATGAGATTAAAGGAAGCTATCGTTAAAAACTTATCTCTATTACGCCCAAATGAACCCCTGACCGGGGTTGTTATAACAAAAAAAGAAGCCGGGACAAAGCAAAGGTAAATTAAACAGCAAAATAAATAGGCAACACGTTTGAAGGTATTTTCTTGTATTGTCTGAAAAAGTAATTGTCCCTTCGCGAAGAATTTTCACTTCTTTGTAAAGTTTAATACAATTTCTAATTTATTGATAATTTCAAGTTTTGTTTTAAGAAACATATAAAATAGGGATTACTTAATTTTAATATGATATTAAACGTGTTTAATCAATTATTCCTAATTATTTAATTAAATATATTATCATCATCATTATTACAGTTCATCACAATTCCACTGCTAAACATAGTGGCGTATTTAGCAGTGAACTCAAAGAATACCACAAAGCACGGTCCTGGGTTTCCTGCATTCATCGACTTCCTGTATCTCTCAGCATGTTGTCACACCATGAAGTGAAAGTCCGCCTTACACTTAGGCCCGGTTCCCACTACGCCGGACCGGCAGATCTGCCGCGCCGGTTAATCTGCCGGAAGGGCTAGTGGCTGTCTCGCCTGTCCGAAACAGCCACTGGAGAACCTCTATTCCCCATCGGCTCACTAGCCAGCGGCACACTAGTACGATAGTATCGGCTCTACACTTACTAACCCATCTGTATCACTCAGCCGTGGTGTGTGGGCCAATCTTTCAAGTTATGCAATTTTTCCTGCGTATTATTGAAATAACCTACACCCAGCTGTTGATATGAAGAGATGGTTAAAGAATAAGAAGAAGTTTGTACACTCATAGTCCGATAGGACGACTACGACTATCCGACTCAACCGGAGGGGATCAAGCACAGGACCAAAGACCTGTACGTGCTTTTAAATGTACGAGGGTGAAATACCGTCGACATTCTAATTCCGAGCTGCTATTGAGAAGTTCTTGCCAGAAAAATACAATGACTGGTTTTGGCCTCACCTGAAATTCTAAACATAGTTCTACAGTCGTTAACTCTGTTATATCTTAATTTTAAATAATTTAAAACTTATGAAAAGGGATTGGAAACCTCTTGTAAGAGACAGATGAATACTAAGTTTATAATATAAGGGACGTATCCACAGCTATTGATAACGTAAATTTTATATCAAGAACACATAATACCGTCCTATGAAATACCTAAAAACGGAGTCTTGGATCTGCCAGCAGATTAAATTAGAAAATTTTACTATACAGATCAAAGACTTGAAATTTAATTTCTCCCGAATAAAAATCAGTCCAGGTTATCTGTTACATTATCAAGTTAATTAAAAAAAAATCTTTTATGTTATTTGAGGCAATTCGATAAAATTGATGTTTAATACTTAAAAGAAATAATATGATTTCATAAATAACCTTTTGATATAACCTCATTTCAAAAAGTAGTAAGCTATAAATTATTTTTATATCATATAATATTTTATTTATATAAATAAGTAAGTAATAATAATATAAGTATATCATACATATTATGTATGTATATACTTTCTAAGAGATATTTTAATGATTTCAATAAGTTGTCATATGTTTTTATTTATTTTT